TTCAAGGAAGAAGAGAACTGTGAGAGTTTAGAGAGAAAGGTATTTTGAAGCGTTTCCCACAGACGGCACCAAATGATGTAGCGCGATCCGGTCACTCCTAGCTGGCACTCGCGTGGCTCCTGAGAGGTACCTGGGACGAGAGGGAAGAAGAAGTTCTCTCGGGGGTTTGCCTGGCGAGAACACTCCGATGATTAAGTCAGTACTTTGTGTAAGAAGCGAAGGGAAACTGAAGGTTAAGAGTGAAGATTGCTCAAGTAATTCGAAGATACCTTGTTCCTTGAGAATAAACCCCTTTATAACTGAATTCCGTTGCTTCAGGCCCTCTGCTTCTGACAGGGCAGGTATAACCGCCACTGTCAGGCTGCCACAGCCGTTACTGGCAAGGCTGAGGTGGCACGCGCGGGGCCGTCGTTGCAGGGTACGTGCCTGTCAGGTGCGAGACACCTTTTTGTAGGTGACAGGCGCGACGCTTTCTCACGAGGGACATGTCTGCTGTCCACAGATTTGTCGGGCACGACGGTCGAGCAGGAAGCCTTCCTGTGGTATGCCGAGCTACCCTTCCGCAACTTACCCTGAGCCGGGCTGTCTCTTGAGTGATGAGCTGCCCGTAGCAAGTTATGCCGAGCTGGCTGACCCGAGGTGTCCATGCCTCGGGGTGTCTAGAGATGGATCGGCGTGTTCCTGTTTGGGAGTGGCCCGAGGTCCATTGGGAGGAGCTCAGGCCTCAAGAGAGGTCAGGGCGCCCCGAACTCTAGGAACCCCGAAGTGCCTTAACCCCGGAGAGGAGGTGCGAGTGAGGCAGCTTCCGGCGAGTGGTTCATCTGCCCAGTTGCCGAGCTGAAATCGGTGGAACCTTCCCTTCGAGTTGCGGTCACGTCCGTTGCGCTGTCATGCTGAGTCACTGTTTGTGCAAGGTCACGCCCACGTGTACCCGTACTGCGAGGTCGGGCCAAATCACCCTCCATCAATTTCCACACAAATAGCACTTAGTTTTGCAACTAGCTTGTTTAGCCTCTTGTCATGGTTGTTAGTTAGGGCCATTTCCCACAAGTGTCTCCTAGGCCCATGGTGGTTTTGGGTTGTTGTGAGAGTGTCCCAATACTGTGAGGTCTGCCTTGCATGTGCAGTGATTGTTGGGGTAGTCATGGAGATCTTACATTTGAGCCGAAGGGATAGATTGCCTAGCTAGCCCTTCTTGGTGATTTTTGGTTCAACGATCTTGACTACCATCATGGCTATACCTAGGATCAATAGTGTGTTTGTTGGTAGGGTGGCCAGTGTTAGATGGATACTACCCTCAATCTCAGAGTTAAGGTCATTCCTAGTTCGACTTTCAAGGCGATGACTCACAAATGGCCTATTGCTAGGTCGTTAGTTATAGCTTACACTGATGTTAGTGGTAAGCCTCTAGGGTGTTGGACCCCCACAGTTTGCCTCATGTTGCACACCTTAGTGGCGAGGAGTGCGGCATGATTTATGAGAAGTTGGAACTTCTCCTAGGTCACATGATCTTGAGGGGACAATGGAGAGTTAATTCTTGAAGGAGAATGGACTTTTCTTTTTTGACCTGGAGTCATTGGCACTAGAGTTATGTTGACGAGCCATGTTATTTTTAGTCGTCATTCCCATAAATGGTTCTAATTGTTGCTACCGGATTTTGTAATAAGGGTATAATAGGGATTTCAGAGGTAAGATTGGCAATGGATCCCACTACAAGTACAAAATGATGTTATAGGTCCCCGGGGTAGACACTTTGGTGGTCAAGTTAGCCATGGTGACTTAGAGAGTTGAAGTGTTGAGGTGAGTAGCAAGTCCTAGGGTGTGTGATAAAAAGTGTAAGAGAGAATGCCCACTTCCTTATCTAGCATTGAGTTTTTTTTTTTTCCTTCAGTAAAAAAGATCCATTAGAAACATCACTGGAACATTTGGGTCCCCTTTCTATAGTTTTCCAAAAACTTTGAGCTAAGTTCCTAGGGAGGTGAGTACTATTTACAAAAGAGTTTTTGAGTCTATCTCGCTTTGCCAGATCATGAGCTGGCTTTACTATTTCCCTGTTTACATACAAAACTTTGATATTATCAAAAAATAAAAATAATTCAGATATGTGATCATATAGAGCCTATAGATCCCACGTGATGTTTTTCTCAGTTCCTTTCAGCTTCAGAATAACTTCTTTGGCATCCGATAGCAAAAAACCTGTTTTAACACCCATACAAAAAAACTTGCGTAAGCCTCTTACTATTGCCCAGAGCTTAACTGCTGCTAGTGATCTTACCATGCATGGTTGTCCTTCTACAATGAGAAGAGGAGACCTGTGAGAGAACATAAAGAGTCCAGTGGATGCAGTTTGTGTGGAGGTACTCCATGAACCATCCATTAAGATGATCGAAAGATTTGTGAGAAGAGCTTGATGCAAACCGCAATCTATTTGCAGTTGTAATGAATTCAAAATTTGAAGCTCAGTGTTCTCAATGGTGCAGTAACTATCAGCCTTTTGCAGAATTTGAATAGGGTCTGGTTTCACTTTATTAAAATTTTGATCGTTTTCTTGCATCACGTAAACTTTTGAATATAGCATAGATCTTTGCAATATAACTGTACTTTAAGGCTTTGCAATATAATTGTACTTTTGGCCCTGGTACGGACGATGATTCTCCAAGTTTGAGTCTTGTTTGCATCCATCTCCGAAACTCGGAAGAATAAGTGAGTCTCTCTTGTTCTGGGACAACAACACATACACCTTGCAAGCAACGCCGATTTGAACGGTTAAAGAGAGATAATTTTCCACAATGTTGCTGACGTTTTCATCTCTTCTCTCTTTTCTTCTTTGAGAGGTTTTCAAGATGAAGAGAAAACATTCAGATACTAGGGTTCTAATCCTTTTCCTTGCAGTTTTCTTCTTGTTTGCAGTCTCAAATGAATCTAGGTGATGCTTTCGAAAAAGCGGATATAAAGAAGAGTCTGAACACTCCAAAGGATCGGATCCTCGTTATTGGAACCATCTGTTCTGCAATGATAAAAGGAAAGTTACTCGCATTTAGATCGAATGGTAGAATTTTCAAGGGACTTCACCCTCAATATCGAGACTTTTCTCATAGCCATGGAGCGGGTAGAGTTGCAATTTTAAAACAAACCTCTGGTCCCCATCCCGGCTTAATGAAACCAATTCTCTCTCCATCTGCAAGGAATGGAAAACAGAGGAAATTGGGAAGAAGAAAAGGGAGGAGAGAAAGGGGAAGGAGAAGAAGAGAGAGAGAGGGAGAGAGAGAGGGAGGACTTCAACGGAAGTCTACCACTGCTACAACAGCTATTGCCGTTGTTGTTTGTATATTATGAATTCGGGGAAGATGAATAGTGTTTTTCTTCCAATACAAGGGTAGTATGGGAATTAAAAAATATTGCAACGATAGGCTTCAATAGAAGGCTAACGGAAGGAGGGTATTTGTCGCAAAACCAAATACAGGGAGGGCTTTGTCATAAATCCCATAATACAAGGGGTCTTTATAATTTACCCTAATAATAATAAATAACTAAAAGACAAAGCAACAAGTCTTTCAGTTCAGCAACTTCAGCCGTCATCAAACGCTAGGTGCTGAACTAAAACTTTTTTATGTCTTTTGATGGATAAAGGTGCATATGGACAATTTTAAGATTCGTACTCTCAATGTCAAAAAGCATAAAGCCTCAATAATTTTGGGGCTTAGAAGAAGTGTTTCAGAGATTATAATGATTCATTAAAAAGGGACTGTTGCCAAATGCTCCAAACACTTTTTTGAGCTCAATTTTAATTTTCATGGCGCAAAGCTCAAAAGCAAAAGTTGATTATAATGTGAATTTTGCTTTGAAAGCAAAAATCCCGAGCTTTTGCAAACATAAGAGGTTATGAGCTTTTTACGAAGTGTTTGGTTTCATTGCCGGAAACGACACCACGTCCGAGCCACATGAGCCCAGATTTTTTACAAATCCCGAGTGGAGCAGCCACATCAACGACTGGTTTTGCCGTTTTGCCTTCAATCGTCAAATCTGCTGTTTGGTTTAAAAAACACATTTTAAAACAAAAAACAGAAAACACATCGATTAAAAAAATCAGACGAATTCAGGAAATGTTATTTTTTACGTCTTTTTGCTTTCTCTAAACATTGCAAAATGCATGATTGCTGACATGGCTTGGATGTGGCATAATTTTTGGAGTCAATGAAATCAAGCACCTCCAAACATTACCATTTTCTGAGAATACATAAAATCATTATATTGCTGTTTTCTGAAAAAGTGCAACAGATAAACGGCAGTGTAACCAAACACCACCTTAAGAAGCTGAAGGTGAAAGGTTGAGTCGGATGAGTATTATACCCGCCAATATTTTGTTTTTATTTAATTATTTTGCCCACCAAGAGACAAAAGAATATAAATCACTCAACAAGTGTCCCACCATGCTGTGATAAGAGAAAGCGTGGGCCCTGCTTGCTTATCAAACGGGCACCTATGGTGTAGATCTAATCAAGGGGCCCACAGGGCCAGAACCAAAGAATGGGATATTCATTAATTATGCTTATTAATTAAATAATTAGTTATGTTCGTAACTCCAATTATCAATGAGACAGCGAGGACCGTTCCAGGCGAGACTGTATCCCATGTGGCAAGCAACAAAGAGGCCAATGAAATAAACCCGGCTGTATCTTCAGAACCACACAATTAGAATCTTCGTTTCGGACGACGACAGAATAGAACGAACCTCCATAACCGGAAATACAGGCCGTATGCTTGGGAGAAAGATTCTAATCCAACGGTTAGATTGCAGACCTGGGGTGTGAACCAAATACGGAATCGAACCGGATCAATCAGTCATGTGGAGGGGTGACGTCATATACTATGAGGGAGCTGGAAAAAAAGGCAAATGAGATAAATTGATGCTCTATTCCTTTAACGAGGTGACGCCACGTGGCGCTCTACTTGGCAGCGAGACAGCGCATCTTGCAACCGCGAGACGGAACGATGGCGGTCATTCGCCATCTCTCCTCCATCAACTCACAGGCTCAGCCAGAGAGAGAGAGAGAGAGAGAGAAGAGTTTTTAGAGAGATTCATTTCTATGTTTGTTCACGTTCACATCCTCTTTTTCTATATTTTATTAGATTAAATTAAAAATCTCTCTCACTGTCATCGGCGATTCTCTATCCCTCTTCACTTGTTTACTCTGTTCTTTCGATCGCGATAAAAAAAATCGAAAAAGGATCCAAGATTGAGGGAGGGAGAGAGAAGCGCGGAGCTGATTAGAGCCAGTGAGGTTTCGTATTGGATTACGAGCAGACGATCTTTGAGTGGCATTTGAAAATCATTATTTCAGGTACCCTTTAATTCTCTGATGTAGTGAAAGCTCTATTTTATGTTAAGGGTTGATTAGGTTGGGTTTAAGTTTGGATCTTGATCAGAAATTAGGGTTTGTGGGAGCTGTCCGATGAAGTTGGGAGGTTTTTATTGTTACCCAGGTTGTTTTTTGGTTTATTTATTTGGTTTATTTTTTGATTTTCAGTTTTTCTCAATCGGCTCTGTTGTTCTGAATGGATGTTATGAGGGGTATCGATGGTTACGTGGAGTAGGGGATATGGTTACTGATGTTGCGCAGAAGGGATGTTGGTTTTATTTTGGTTTACGTGAATGGAATATCCAATGGAGTGTTCTGTGATTTGGTTCAGAGAGTATCAGGAACTGGTTTTTGGATTTCGGTTTCAATTCTTGAAGATTTTGGGACGTTGCTATTGAATGATCCTCATGTGTAATCAAGGAACTGATTACTTGAGACGATCATCTTCGCAGTCTGATAACTTCTTTGATCAGCAGCAGCACCAGCAGCAATACCAGGCTGTGTACAGGATGGAATCACCTGCCGCAGCCCCACCACAGATTCCCAGTTCCAATGAGGAAACACCTCGCGTTAAGTTTTTATGCAGCTTTGCGGGTAGTATCCTTCCTCGACCTCAAGATGGGAAGCTCCGTTACGTTGGAGGAGAAACGCGGATTGTGAGCTTGCCTCGGGACATTACCTATGAGGAGTTGATGGTGAAGATGAGAGAACTTTTTGAAGGGGCAGCTTTGTTGAAGTACCAGCAGCCTGATGAAGATCTTGATGCTTTGGTTTCTGTTGTTAATGATGACGACGTCACCAATATGATGGAGGAATACGACAAGCTTGGTTCTGGAGATGGGTTTACGAGGCTTAGGATATTCCTTTTCTCACATCCTGATCAAGATGCTTCTTCACACTTTGATACAGATGAGAGGGAAACAGAGAGGAGATATGTGGACGCATTGAACAGTCTGAATGATGCTTCTGATTTCAGGAAGCAACAGCAGCAACAGTCAGACTCCCCTATGATGGGTCCTGCGATGGCTGAACAATTCTTCAATTCAATCAGCCTCGAACCTGGCATTCATAACCAGAGGAATTGTGATATTCCTTTGCCACAGTATAATTTACATCTTAAAATTCCTCATCTAGGATCAGGGCCGCACCAACAACCCCATTCTCAGAGGTATAGTGAAATGGAGGGTTGGAATCCTGCATACTATTCACCCAGTCATCATGGACCCCATGATCCGCGACCTATGTCAGAGTTTCCAACTTCACCGTCATCCAGTCGGTATCGCATGACGTTTGGAGAATTGCCTGACAAGAGCTTGGATAGGATGTCTGAAATGAACCATCAGCCACCGTATGACCACCAAGCAACATTTGTTGATAATGTAGTATGGCTTCCGCCAGGAGCAATGACTGGTGAGAAAGCTGGTTTTCCAGGTAATCTTAGCCACACACACAATTTTTATGAAGGGAATAATATATGTGAGCACTGCCGGATGGCTTTCCAAAGGAGCCAAACTTCACCAGATTCTGCTCGTTATACTGATCCCCGCTGGAAACATGGAGGACAATCACATTTGGAGCAACCAAACCCAGGGAATGGATTCCACCAATTCTCCAATCCATGCACTGAATGCGGCCCTAGTAGGGAGAATTACATACTGAATACTGATGCCAAATTGGACCATGGCATTTTCCCTAAAGAGAAAAATGAGGCCAGATCTTTCTACAATGAAGTCCACAGTCATGAAAGAGGATGGGTCCTACATCACCAATTGAACCATCGTGGTGATGAACCGAGGACGCACTTATCTGGGGCTGGAACAATAAGTGAACACTATGTGGTGGATGGTACTGGCATGAGTTTTCCTCTTGGACATGGTACCTGCTGTGATGGCCATCATGTGCCTTCTTCCAATTGCATCAATCACGAAGACCCACGGTATATTCGACCTGGACCTGAATTGGGAAATGATGGGTTTCATGATCGAGCTATGGGAACTGGACTTCACATTCATGTTCCTGCACAGGAAGACCGAGGTGTCTGTTATGGGAATTTTGCTCCTGCTTATGGAACAGAAGGTCATTATCAGGTAGCACATGGGCCTGGAGGCCCTGGACATGGTTTATGGAGAAAGGTTCAGAACCCTTTGCATGGCACTTCATCATATGAAACATCAAATTTACTGCCTCAAGTTAATGGTACAGTTAATTCAGGGTTCCTGAGGAGCCCACAAGAGGGTAGTCCAAGGTATCGTGTTGGCATGGATAATCCAAATCCTTGGGCAGGGCCATCACAGAAAGTACTTGGGTTTGATGGATCTGCTGCTCCAGAATATTTCCATGGTTATGCTCGGAGGGTCAATTCAAATATCATTGGTCAGGAAAACCAGACTTCATTTGGCCCAGATCCTTCTCGATCCCCAACTGACATGCTAGACTTTGCCAATCCAACCGAATCTGTGCCCCGAGTTCCTTCATCTTATTCTGCTGTTGATGATAAAGTAGCTGCTTCTACTACTACAAGTAACATTGTGGGACCCAGAAATGATACTGATGCTATTGGTGCAACGATGGAGGATAAAAACATGCTTAGAGAGGTTAGCAAACCAAATCATGCAGAACATTCACAAGTATCCAATTTGCATACTGTCTCTTATCCAGAGAAAAATGGAGATTCTGGCCAGAAAAATGATGAGTCAGGTGTTGATTCAAATTGCTTAAAGTCTGCTGAAAAGGGTGGTAATACAATAAAACTTGGTGGAACTGATGTTCATGATGCATGTGAAGATGGGGAGCTCTCAACTAGGCGTTTGAGTTTCTTACCTGAGTTGATTGCTTCAGTAAAGAAGGCAGCATTAGAAGGTGCTGAGGAGGTAAAAGCTAGAGCACAAGGAAATGCTGGCGAAGATGTTTTGCCTCATTCAACAACCAATGAAGCAGCTTTCCCCGAATTGGAAGCCACAGTAAAAATTTTGACCAGCTACTCCTTTTTTCCTTCCTTTCCATGAAATGTATTTTCTTTAATATTCTATATTGACTTGTTTTGCCTTCTTTTTGTCCCATAGAATACCCATGTAGATGTGGAGGTTGATTCTGATAGTGATCATCAAAATATTTCAAAGATTGAGCCAACAAAGGCTGAGGAAGAAGCTTTGGCTAAAGGGTTACAGGTATCTCTTTATTGTCTCATCTTCATGACTAATATTACTTTGACATATTTCTACTTGTTTTCAATTCTCTTACAGTATGTCTTTATTTTTATAGACAATAAAAAATGATGATTTGGAGGAAATTCGAGAATTGGGTTCTGGTACTTATGGAGCTGTTTATCATGGAAAATGGAAGGGTTCTGATGTAGCAATTAAGAGAATAAAAGCAAGCTGCTTTGCTGGGAAACCATCTGAAAGAGAACGTCTGGTAGTTTCCTTATCATTGCTATTATTGATTTTAGTTACAGATATTGCCACTTTACGCATAATCAGAGCTTATTTGTCTAACTATAGCAACTTTTAGAACACTCTTTTCCAAGATGCAATTTATAGGTTATTCTTATATCTGTGGTGGTAAGGTACATTTGAAAGTCTAATTTTGGTACCTGTGTTGCTAATAATCCACTGGATGGTGAAGTATATTCCTTTCTCTGCTTTTGGAGCCAAGAGATTTTTAAAAAAGTCTGTGTGTGTGTATTTGTCCAAGAGGATGGAAAGAAAAAAATTTACTGCTCACGACTAAATATTTTCTTCTGACATCGTCAATGGTTTACCCAAATTGAAATGAAAATTTGCCTTATCCTTTCTTTTCACTTATTTTCCCTCCCCCTTGATAAATAAATATTGATTATTAATTGTCAAAAGAGCTGGATTCAGTTTCTGTAGAAATGTGACCATTGGATTAATGGCAACAAAGTTTTCTAGTGAAGCAACAGGAGAGTACAGAGAAGCACTTGAAGACAGACACCTTTCTAAACCCAAGGCAATGATAACTTCACAGTCCTAAAGCCCAGAAGGTACAAAGAAGCCAGATAACCTACACTTCTCATATGCCTCAAAAAACTCCAAGCTTGTCTCATTAGAAAACCAGCTTATCATTGTACTGGTTATCAATTTAGTCTTTTGAAATGGCCTGTCTTTGTACTATACAATTTTGTCATCCCTCTTTTGCCTCGTTGGTATCATTTTATAATTCTGTAATTCTGAAGTACTTCCTCTTTTCAAGACAGACTGGTTATCATGATCCATTGCAGAGATGTTTTTTATTTTTATTTTTTATCAATAAAAGATAACTTCATTAAAATATAATGTTGAAACAAATGTACAGAAAGCAAGGAGGAAGCTAGCCATGGCTAGCCAACAACACTTCTTTCTGATGATTAACAATAAAATTTTACTGATATTAGGAGAATCCAGCATGTACAAGTATTTCCTGGAGATAAGGGGTCTTGTCTCGACCCTTTTAGTCTTATTTATTTATTTTTGAATCTCTTACAACTGTGCCCAAAAAATTTGTTCCCTCTCAGCCCCCTGATTTGCTAGAGCGTCGGCCATGCTGTTGGCTTCCTTTTGAGTCCAAAGAACCCTGAATTTCTTCAGTTGATTACTATAAGCTCCACAATGCAGCATCTTCCTTTTGCTACTCTACCACAACTTTGGAATCCCCTTCAATAATGAGTGCCTGCCATTCAATTCCTTTGCTTCCTGCACTCCTTCCATTACAGCCATAATTTCAGCCCTTAAAGAATCTCCTCTTCTATTTGGGCCTGAGAACATAGCGACAATATTGCCCTCCTCATTTCTGAATATTCCTTCCACTCCTGAGAGCGTTGGATTGCCCCTACTACTACTATCCAAGTTGAGCATAAGGAATCCTCTGTATGGTAGTCTCTGCCTCCCGCCTCTTGAAGGCTACCTCCTTCCTGGAAGATGTGCTTGCCACTTCCCTCTAGTTCCCAGTATATCATCTATCGAGAGGGGTGTGAAGATCTTCCCTCTAGTTCCTGGAAGATGTGCTTGCCTTCTGACTCCTTTATTTTTCTTTGAATCTTCTAGCATTTCTTTCTTCCCTAATTGTCCATATCATTGCTGCCCTAGTGCTTCTCCACAAGAGTCTTCCTCTTTTAGGCTAGCTAAAAATTGTGGGAGAAAAGAGACTGGAGACACTAGTAGAGGAGTTCTACTTGCATCCAATGAGGGGATAAACAGATGGTTGCTCTCCTCTTTTGATGAAGATCACGAGTGTTTATTTTCTCATGGAACACCTCCCAAGTTTCCCAACTAAAAGCTGCAACTTTAAGAGGGATTGATCTACACCAGGCCCCTTTGACTGGAAAAGGCTGCAAAGGCCAGGTGGGCTGAGTTAAAACCTCAAAGAAAGAAGTGCAAGAGAAAAAGCCTGAGAGAAGAGGCTCCAAATTCTACAATCTGGTTGAGAAGGGTCCAGAAAAATACTCACAAAAATTTTGTAAAAGTCTAAGAATATTTAGAAATTTAAAGTCCCTTAGACCCCTCTTGAACCCCAAGTCCCAACTGAAGCCATCAAGGAGGGGAAATTGGTTCTCCCTTGAAATTAGAAAGTGCAATCAAGGAGGGGAATTGATCTTTATGTGAAGATTGTCCCACCCATTCATGTTCCCAGAACTTAACGTGGGAGTCCGAAAATGCATCATATCTAATACGGGGAAGAAATAAAGGGATGGTATCATGATTTACCTTCCAAGGAGAAGCTCTTGATGCTCTTCCAAATATGCTAGTGTCCTACCCATTGTTCGGCAGTCCATGTATACTTTGTCACCACTTTATGCCACTGTTCATCCCTATCCTATCGCAACCTCTAGAGCTATTTACCCAGCAAATCCAAGTTCTTCTTTATGTTCCTAATTCCCAACCCTCCCTACCTCTTATTCCAACAAATCTTACTCCAATTTATTAGATGGTCCTTTCTTCCCTCCCCACCTTTCCAGAGAAAGTCCATTAGCTTCTCAATCTTATTGCCCACTTTCTGAAGAATTCTAAAGACTGACAAGTAATAAATTAGCCAAAATAGATTTGATCCCCCCAACCTTTCTTCCAAGAAGCCAACCGCTTTGAGAATCTCTCTAAAACTGGATCCCAAAAGCTAAGAACCCTAGTACAGCCCCTAGGGGAAGGCCTAGGTATTGCATAGGCTGCAGTGAGATTGCATAACCCGTCAACTCTGCTGGCCAGCCAATCTCACTTTCATCCATGTTTGCCTTTCTAGACAACTCTTATGAAAATTTTATCTTCAGATCAGCCAATTGATCAAAGAGTTGTACCAATGGCCTCTTTTTTTCTACCCAAAGACTCTCTTGCTCATTACAAAAGATAACAATATCATCTGCAAATTGGAGGTGGGTAATAACAACATTATCTCTCCCAATTCTCCAACCCTTAAAGAAGCTGCATCCTGTCTACCCTTAAAATTTATCTACTAAACAAATCAGTGATAAGGGTGAACATATAAAGAGACAAAGGATCTCCTTGTCTAAGTCCCTTGGTTATTGGAAAGAATCAATCACTGTCCTATTCACCAAGATTGAGTAAGGTCATGCCTTTAAACACCCCAACAACATTAAAGTAACCAATCCCCAATACATTTTTGATCTGTTTGCTCCTAACTTAGCTAGCCCATCAGTAGGTATGCAAACAGATTGAATTGAATTCGGATTGGGGGTATATTCAAATTCAATTCAATGGTATATATCCTCTACTTGAATTCGATTTGAGTCTGATAGTATATGCAATACAATGTGTCGTATTTGATTTGAGAAATTATTGGATATTTGATAACAAATTCAATTTGATTTGTATGTGCTTTGTGGTCAAGCTTGGGAGGACAATGACCACCTGTTCTTCCATTGTTCCGTCTCTTCCTCCATTTGGAGGTACTATTTCTCAGCCCTGGGGTTAGCTTGGACCATGCCTGAATCAGTGCTGGAGCTGCTGTGGTGTTAGGAACTTCAAGGTCTTTCAAATCTTGCAAGTAGTGTGTGGATGTTTATTCCGGCTGCAGTTATAAAGACCATTTGGTCTGAAAGGAACAGACAGCTGCTCCAGAATGTTTCCAAGATTTGGATGTTTTAATTTCCTCTTCTTTTAGCAAGCTGGTTTCTTGGGTTTTGGTTGCAAAAGGGATTCAGAGCTCTGGCCTAGGGGCTCTGTTGAGGTCAAGAAGCTTATTTCAATTGTAATCTTGTTGGGTGGGGGGCTGATTCCGGCCCAAGGGGTTCCCATTGGGGGGTTTGTTGTACTTCTTCTATTTCTAGACTTTAATAAAGTTACATTACCTTTTCTCCAAAGAAAAAACAAATTGAATTCCATTTGTTTAATTTGATTGAAATTGAAAAAGAAAACAAGAGAAAATCAAAGAAATAAAAGGAGAAGAGGTTAGGGTTGGGGTTAATGCTATCCCGGAACTGTATTTGAAAAAGAAAAAGAAGAGGTTTGATGCATACCTTGCTCTTGTAATATTCGGCTCCACGTGACTGTTGCTGTTCATGTTTGCAGCCAAACTCTAAGTTTTTTTCCTTATTGAGAAGAGATCCTTCCATGGTCATACACTTTTCTCAGATGGAATGAATCATCTGAGAGATACAAACATGACAATTGCAAAAATCAAGCAAAGAAAAGGAATCCTGAATACCAACTTGTTACAGCATATGCAAAGAGAAATATATGAAAAATCCCTAAAAAAATTGATACCCAACTTGCTAGAGAGTAGAGACCACTATAAAAGAGAAAACAACTTGTAGACATACTTAAGGTGAGGTTGAAGTAGGAAATGGATCTCTGCTCTTATTGCCATATACTCTTCCCTCTTCAACCAAAAATGGATTCATCTCAATAGTGGAACCTCAAAAGTGAACATGAGTGAAGATAAAATGCTTCAGGTTTCTCTTCATTGGGAATAAGAAAGGGAAAAAATGAAGAATGAAGATGAAAGGTCTCTGTACAGTTTGTCACATTAGCTAGGGGTAGAGAGACTTAGCCCCTTACAGAATAGGGAATTATTAGGCTAGGGTTTCTTTTGCCTTATCACAGGACAAAATCAGGTAAAGTCTGCATGTGTCTTATAAAGATGGCTATCTATGCAAATATATAATGTATATTATATCATGCATTATATAATTGAATTTAATTGGATTTTTTTGGATTGAATCAGGGGTATATCCAAATTAGATCTGATAAGCAATGGATCGTATTTTCTGATCTGATTTGATTGAATAATCCGTTAAGGTATATCTGAATCCAGCGCAATTGGATTGAATTCGAATCTGAAGTGGATCAGAATCCAATTCATTTACACCTCTAACCATCAGCCATAGAGTTTACAGAATTACAGTTTATGGAGTCCAAACAAACCTAGCATTTAATTCAATAGTAGTTCATTCTGAAGTATTTCTA